ACGTCTCGTATCCAGAATCCCTGAAAAGATCATGAAGCCTTCAGAAAGCTCAAGTACCCCTGCGACTGATGCGGTTTGTTCAGACCAAGCCGAACTCGGAGTGGATGATACCGGGATACCAGAGTCTTTAGCTACCGCGGCTGAAGCATTGATGGTGATGACGAGGTCATGTGCGGAAGCGGATGCAAGATCTCGGACTCCTGTAGACCAGTCTGGATACCAGAATGAACGTTGGAGGAGAATCAAGGTTCACCAAGACGAAGACTTGTGGATCCAACAAATGAAGAAGGTCCTAAGAGGAGACGTGTCAGATCTCCCCCGGAATCAGGTGAAGAAGATTGCGAAGATCTCTGATCAGTTTGTATTAGATTCGCGAGAAGTCCTCTACAGGCTGAGCACACCCACTCCTGAGAGACCTCGCAACAAACAGTCGGAACTCAGGCTGGTAGTCCCAGAGACTTTATGTGCCGATATGTTACACTACTCGCACAAAGACTTTCAAGGCGGCCACCAAGGAATCAACAGGACGTTTGAACGATTACGTTCAGAGTTCTACTGGATCGGGATATACGCTGATGTACAGAAGTTCGTAAGAGAATGCGTAGATTGAGCGTCAGCCAATGGGCGACCACCGGTCCTCGGTCCGTCACCTGGCAATATTGAACCGACATATCCGTTCGAGGTGGACTCTGTGGATTTTGTCACTGAGCTACCTGAGTCCGATTGTGGAAATACCTACTTGTTGCTGTTCCAAGATCAATTCTCAGGATATGTCATGTGTAAACCCATGCGGAATACCGAAGCCCAAGGTGTTGCTGAGGCATACGAAGAGTGCGTATTCAGAAGATTTGGGGTAAGTTCAATGATCAGGCATGATCAGGATCCCCGCTTCTTGAGTAAGGTCTTTGCCAGATTTAGAGATCTTCTGAAAAGTAAGCAACGTGCGACGCTAGGATATCGGCCTCAGGCCAATGGACAGCAAGAACGCTCAGTCCAAACGGTAATGCGAAGA